CAGTTACAGAACTGTTGCGGTTTTGATATATGTCAAAAGTGTCATACACCAAACTTGAAAATTTCATTTTGGTCTCATCATACAAACAAACAATCTTATTACTTTGACTTTTTACAAAACAGGCTCTTCATTTTGTACCAGATCACGTTTACATTTCAAAGACTTGTGCCGCTATGGCTGTTCGAGAAAGCTGTTGCGTAGGTCAAAAGATGACTTATCTTTAATTTTTTGTTAAATGAACAGTCCCTACATTAGATTAAGTGTTCATTTAAATGTCTAGGAGTTTGAGTAATAATGTTTGTTCTGATAGCACAGCTCAGATGTTTTTGCTACTTTGATTAATAGGGCTCACACTGGTGCACTTAAGGTAACCCTAGGGACACCTGCATGACCTTTCACTACAACAACAACAATCAGAAGCCCACCGGCTCCTGCAACAATTTATGGGTAGTTCCATATATAGATGGCAAAGCTGATATAATAACAAAACTACGAAAATTAAACTACTGTGCTAAGCCATTTGAATCAAGTTTTCTGTGCATCGGATTATGTGTTGTAGTGACGATGGCACACCAGTACGTTGGCTGGTTTTAAGTCTCTATGGGCAGTTCCTTTTGCGTGGAGATACGCCAGTCCCTGTATCATTTCCACTGCCGCATGATTAATTACATCGATCGTGGAATCCTTTGCAGCTGTAATCGTTAATTTGCAGCAAGAAATCACAAAGCGAGCTGACACGCAAATCGTCGACGCTAAACAGCTTGAAGTCAAAGTAAACATATTCAAGCATTATCGCCAGCGGCTGATGGCATACTCCAAGCAGTTTCACAATGTTGGGTGTCGTGTCCTCTTAGTATATAAATTAGCGGAGTTTTAACTAGCTGGAGAAGTGAAACTAGTTCAGAAAGAAGCACATAACAAGTCGACCATGTGCTCTCTTTATTCTTCTCTCACATGCTGCTCCTTGTTTACCTCATGACGCACATGCACGAAATGTGACATACACGACATCTCTCCTTTTCTCTGAGGAAACAAAGTCTAACAATCCTTCGAACTTGAACGAAAACATAACGAAAACAAATTCAACTTTAAAGGTAGACGCCTTTAAGCGACAAACATGTCAACAAAGTCAAAAGTTTAAATTGCCTCCGAATGAGCGTCCTCAACAACACTTTTAAAAACAAAATCACAAAGTTCTCAATCACAAAAATCTTAATCAAAGTTCTTTGATTTGTCCATCAGGAAACATCTCACAGGAGATCAGTTCATAATTTCAAAACATAGTCTTTGTATCTCTCTGGTGGTCTCCTCTGCCTCTGAGGTCTCTGAGTCAACTTTGGTGTTGCTGACGTGCTAGTTACTGTTGCTTGGTCAATTGTCATATCACCACGGGCGGTAACTGCCTCGTTTCCATTCTCTGCACTTGTTTGTGCTGACAGTGTACTCCTCTTTAGGAGGTTCACTCTGTGGTGCGGTAGGTGCTGCTGGTGTCAATTCACTTAACACTTGGCTTGGTATTGTGGAAGGTACGACAATTCCATCTGGGCTAGCAGATGGTGTCCCAGGTGTCGATACAGGATCATCCGCTATAAACCTTTTCACATGTGACGTGTTTCTCGAGTATTGGGTCCCACCTGGAGCCTCCACAATGACACTGTTGCTAGTCTTGCTTACTACACTGTATGGCGTTGGATTGAATGGTGTCGAGAATTTGTCTTTTCTCTCTTGTCTTACAAGTACTTGATCACCC